TTAAGAGCTAGCAAATAAAAATTTTTTATAAAAGCCATATAATCTGTTTCTGTCTGGATGTCTCTATGTCTGTATGTTATATGTATGTGTGATATTTGGTAAATAAAGCTAGTTTTAAAGTTAATAAGGTAAAAATGGCTTCAAGAGTGTAACTTAAATGTAATTCAGACATTTTTGCCTAGTTCTACTGGTCTGACAGGTTTATTCTATCTTTACATATTTTAAGGTCATAAAACTGCTAATTTTCTATATTTTTGGCACTTCATTTGTCTGTGGGCTAATGCTGGCTGTTGGGCTTCCCCAGAACTTTGCACACATCTTACTACAAGCCGGTCTTTGGTTTTGAGCTTCAAGATTCTGGGGTCTAGACAGGTGGCCATGGTGAGGCCTGGAGACATGTTGTCAATGCTTAGGCCACCATCTGCAGGGCCCTGTGTTGTTCCTTGCTTGGCCCAGATTTGCCTCACAGCCATGCTGGGAGTAGTCACACCCTCCAGCTATGCTCTTCACAGCTCTGTCTTCTGTCCTGCCATCTGGTATGTAAATTTAGGACCCAACAGAGCCCTGCCCTTTATAGCCATCAGGTGGATACTCAGGACCTAGGACAACTGAGAAAGACATTGAGGAGGGTACCTGTGTCATAATTTCCTTTTTTCTCCAATAATTAATCTTAAAGTCATGTTATATTAAATAATAAAATGTCTGAGTCATTCCTAAATAAGTTAAAATACTAAAGCATTAATTATTAAATATAGGTCTGTTTATGCACTTTGACATCTTATTTTTATATGATCTAAAAAGCTAAATATATTTAGATATTTTAATTTTGTTAACAAATCTTTCTAAAAATATAAAATGATTTTCATCTACAAAGATTGATATAAAACTGTTCAAAATTAATTTCTAGGTTTTTACCAAAAATTTGGATTACTAAGAGTCAAAATTATAGTCAACATACATAATTAAAACTACTAAGTGTAAGAGAAACAATTCTAAATAAAGAGTCTATTAAAAAAGCACAATATATTTTTGGTGAGGAAAGTTATAAAGACATAAAAATGTGAGAAAAAAATTTAGAAGTTACTCACAGATTGTTTCAAATGAAAGGAATAAAAAATAGATTAAATTACAGAAAGTTTTTAAAAACTTCAAAATTTTTATGAGATTACAAAAAGTTTATTTTACAATCTTGTGTGATTAAAAGGTTATTGAAATTAGATTTGTTTATAAGTTTTTATTAAAATCAGCATTAGAATTGATAATACACTAATACAAGAGTAAAAATTTTTCTCTTTTGCACGTAAATTTTGTGTAATACTAATAAGATAAAGTAAAACACTTTTATTCACCTTTTGAATAAACTCTCAGAAAAGGGAGTGAGAAGAGACATATTCTGTCTTTATTTGTCTTTTAATTTTTAAAAATAGTCTTTTTTTAAAATCAAGGAATAAAGGTCTTTGCTTTTAAAACCTTTTCATTATTACTTTGGCTAAATAAATGATTTATTTTACAGTGACCTGTGATTGACTTTGATAAGTGTTTTAAATTTTTGACATAAATTTAATGGGCTTCCCAAAATCAAATTTAAAATTTTAAGTGAAGTCTTTTTGATCTCAAACTAACTTTGATACGTTACAGAGGGCCCCTGCAGTATCCAAAAGAGAGATAAACAGGTTTATTTAATATGCAAAATTACATGAAAAACATTGTCAGAAAATAATGTTCAACTTTCTTTGAGTTTCATATGATTTTTAAAATAGTTTTCTTCTATTTCTTTGAGAAATATCATTGGTAGTTTGATAGGAATAGCATTGAATCTGTAGATTGGGCAGTATGGCCAGTTTAATGATACTGTATCTTCCCATTCATGACCTTGGGATGTTTTTCTATTTGTTTGTGTCTTCTCTGATTTCTTTGAAGAGTGTTTTATAATTCTCCTTGTAGAGATCTAAGTTTTGTATTTTTAGTAGAGACAGGGATGTTACCCAGGCTAGTCTTGAACTCTTGAGCTCATGTGATCTACCCACCTCAGCCTTCCAAGGTGTTGGGATTACAGGCATGAGCCACTGTGCCCAGCCTGGATGCTCTTTATTTCTTTCTCTTGCCTGATTTCTCCAGCTAGTACTTTTAATACTATGTTGAGTAAGAGTGGTGAGAGAGGGCATCCTTCTCTTGTGCCAGTTTTCAAGGGAATCGCTTCCAACGTTTGCCCGTTTAGTATGATGCTGACTATGGGTTTGTCATAGATGGCTCTTACTGAGTTATATTTCTTCAGTAACTAGTGTATTGAGAGTTTTTAACATGAAGGAGTATATTATTGAAAGCCTTTTCTACATCTACTTAGATAATCATGTGATTTTTGTCTTTAGTTCTGTTGATGTGATTAATTACATTTATTGATTTGCATATGTTGAACTAACCTTGCATCCCAGGCATGAAGCCTACTTGATTGTGGTAGATTAGCTTTTTGATATGCTACTGGATTTGGTCTGCATGTACTTTGTTGAGAATTTTCAGTGTTGATCAGGAGTACTGGCCTGAGGTTTTGTTGCCTCTCTGACAGGTTATGGTATCTGGATGATGCTGGCTTCATAGAATGAGCTGGGGAGAATTCCTACTCCTTAATTTTTGGGAATAGTTTCAGTAGGAATGGTATCAGCTCTTCATTTTATGTCTGATAGAATTTGGCAGTGAATCCATTAGGTCCTGGACTTTTTTTGGTTGGTAGGCTATTTATTACTGATTCAATTTTAGAATTTGTTACTGGTCTTGTTCAGGGAATCAGTTTCTTCCTGGTTCAATCCTGACAGGGTGTATGTATCCAGGAGTTTATCCATCTCTTTTACGTTTCTAGTTTGTACGATATAGAAGTTAAGAATGCTTTTACTTACTCGGGTTTTCTTGCTTCTCAACTCTCCCTGCTGACAGAGCTCAAAAACAGATGTGTGTATATGTGTGTGTCTATAAAAATAATTATTCAATAAGATGTGATAGTAGAAGAAAAGCAATATTGGTAAGTAAATGTGCTTATTTTATGTAATTAAAATATATTTATAGTAGCTGAAAAGCTTTTTATGTTTCTTTTTATTTAGATAATTGAGTACTTTCTCATATTTGAGGTTGTCATATACTTTGACATAGACACAATTTTTACCAAGGAGGAGAGTATGCATGGTTTGAATGTTCAGAGGAAAATATGCATTCTACATCAGTGGAAATGGATATGCCTCTGAGATCTACAGTCCTAAATTTTCCCATCCTATGAGTCACTTAGGATTTATGAACACATAGATTTATGAAGAGACTTTTCAAGAAACATACTCAAGAGTAGAGAGTCTTTTGTATGAGGAAATTATATGGAAATATTGGTGTACTTTTCTACTGCTACTTATCTAAAATGAAAAGCTAATACAGATTCTGTTATGTCATTGCTTTAGATATATTTCATCTATTGACTAGAATTTCACTCTGTTTTCTCTTAGAAATGAAAAGACAAGCATACAGTCCTTTTGAGTTTTTTATATTCTTATGAGTCTTTTCTACTTTGATGTAGTAGGGGCTAAAGAAAATATTTTAATGAGTTTCTCTCTCTCTCTCTTTTTTTTTTTTTTTTTTTTTTGAGGCAGAGTGTTGCTCTGTGACCCAGGCTGGATTTTAGTGGTGCGATCTTGGCTCACTGAAACCCCCTCCTCCCAGACTCAAGCAATTCTCATGTCTCAGCCTCCTGAGTAGCCAGGGCTACAGGCACGTACCACCATGCCCAGCTAATTTTTGTATTTTAGTGGAGATGGGGTTTCACCGTGTTGGCCAGGCTGGTCTCAAACTCCTGTCCTCACATGATCCACCTGCCTGGCCTCCCAGAGTGCTGGTATTACAGGCATGAGCCTCTGCACCTGGCCAGTTTTTCATTAAATCTGTGATTGTAAATGAGCTCTCCATGCTGCCTACTGAGCTACTCTAGTAAGTTTGCTTTCCTACAAGCAGTGTTGCTCAATCTTATGGAAAGTATGTACCCTTTTTAAAGAAAATAATCTTGTGGTTACCCGATGTTGACGATGTTGAATGCTTACATGATGAATGTAGTGCTGACTGCTGAAGTACAGATCTTTGGGTTCAACATGCTTAGCCTAGTAGGTGCTTTGTGACTCATTCTTCCATCAGTGTTTTTCTATTTGACTGCTATGAGTCTTTCATGTATGAATTAAACTATCATTTGGCCTTCACTTGGCAAGCATTTGGCCTATACTTCCACCCTGTGCTTTTCTCATTAGTCAACAATGATTTAATTCAGACTTGCTTCTTGGTTATACGATAGTCATTATTAACAAAATCCAGAGTATGCTGTTTATGAAAATGTATTTGGAAACTTACAGAAAAAATAGTTTGTATTTTGAATATATCCTAACAAATGAGAAAAGACAATAGAAATTAGTGAAAGTTCAAAACTAATGAAGATGAATTAGAGAAAATGTATGAATTGTATTTTAAAAGACACAGAATCTCTTAAAATTGTACAACCCTAACACAGACACTGTTAGAGGGCTAAAATTTTCAGTCTTCTGTTTTTTTGATGCATATAGACACGTTTAGATTTTGTGGTTATAATGTGCACAGCATTTTACATACCTGCTTCTCTTTTCAGGCTACACATAAGATAGCTGTTTCCATTTACTCTGCCATAGGAGTAAACCAAGAGGAAAAAGTATTTATTCAGTAATTCTGTATGATTAGAATGCTGAAAATCTTATAAATTATATTTAGAGTACATTTGTTTTGGAAGCCATATTGTGCTATATCAATTGACATTTTTTTAGTAATCCCATGTCATTAGGAGAATATAGATTTATTTTGGAACCACTTAATTATATAAGACATCTGTACTTAAATATTTGTATTTGTAATTAATAATGAATTGCTACCATCTGTAAATCTCTTCATCAGTTGAATAGCATACATAATTATAAGGGTTTCAGATTTTTGTCTTCTCTATGTATTTATAGCAAAAGAAGATTTTAGTGAAGCAGGAAACTACCTAAAAGGATATGTTATCACTGGAATGTATTCCGAAGAAGATGTCTTGCTACTGTAAGTTTATTGCTCTTTTAATTTTAGGGAGGAAGAAATTATGCAAAATAATGTTATCTAATAATTGCTTATATTTATACAGCTGGTAGAGGGAAAAAGGTAGCAATATAAAGAAATTTTATATTTCCTTTTGGGAAATAAAGCACCTGAGAAGTACCTTAGATTCTTTTTTTTTTTTTTGAGACAGAGTTTTGCTCTTGTTACCCAGGCTGGAGTGCAGTGGTGTGATCTCGGCTCACCGCAACCTCCGCCTCCTGGGTTCAAGCAATTCTCCTGCCTCAGCCTCCTGAGTAGCTGGGATTACAGGCATGCACCACCATGCCCAGCTAATTTTTTGTATTTTTAGTAGAGACGGGGTTTCACCATGTTGATCAGGATGGTCTCGATCTCCTGACCTCGTGATCCACCTGCTTCGGCCTCCCAAAGTGCTGGGATTACAGGCGTGAGCCACCACACCTGGCCCTAGATTCTTTATATATTTGTACTTCACCACCATCCTCCTATAAAAATTATCCTATTTGGATTCTTTTTTTTTTGAGATGGAGTCTCACTCTCTCATCAGGCTGGAGGGTAGGCAGTGGCACAATCTTGGCTCACTGCAACCTCCACCTCCTGGGTTTAAGTGATTCTCCTGCCTCAGCTTCCTGAGTAGCTGGGACTACAGGTACATGCCACCATGCCTGGCTAAGTTTTGTAGTTTTAGTATAGATGGGATTTCATCATGTTGGCCAGGATAGTCTCCATCTCTTGACCTCGTAATCCCCCTGCCTCAACCTTCCAAAATGCTAAGATTACAGGCATGAGCCACTGCTCCCAGCCCCTCTTTGTGTTCTATTATCTGCAGTGTGAGTTCTTTGGAGTTATCATAGTTTGGGAGAAATTTTGCTTTTTGAACATCTGAGTTTTTATTTATCCCGTGTGTGTGTGTGTGTGTGTGTGTTTGTGTGTGTTTAAAAATCAGTGCTTTTTAAGCCTCTTAAATTACCTTATCTGTAGAAGATTGGACTTCTGTGGACTTCCAAAATATTTTAGTTGCTGTAGAATGAAGGACTGAACTGCAGATTTGGAGATTATTATTAATACACATCACATCCTCTGTGGCCCATTTTCAGGTATAGGTGTACTTTACTAAGCCCCAGTAGTTTTGTCTTACCTTCTGACTATAAATTTCTAATTGTAATTTCTAAGCTTAAATCTTTCATCTTGAACACTGGTGACAGGAAATATGAGGACTGTCCATCTCACAATGGGTAATCACCCACCATCTTCTACTGTGCTGTCGTTGTGCATTTAGCCATGGTCCAAAGAGCTAAACCAGTAGTTTTCAGAGTGTGTTTTGTTTATAACCAACTGGTCAACTAAGAGGCTTCTTTAAGTGATCTGAAAACTGGCCTCTCAATTAATGCTTATGATGTTATAATGTCTATACTTTGTTCTGGTATGAATTAAGTTATTATACATGACTACTTCACTAGTAATTTTACCCAAAGCTTTCTTCCTATTTAGATAATTTTCTTTTAGGTTTAGTTAGCGAAAGGGATTGTGGGAGGGTGGATTTGGGCTCTTGTTTTAGTGGAGAGAGTACAGACTCTGTCAGGAACAGAGTCTGTGTCAGGGACACCTCATTTGAAGTCTGTGTCTGCCATTTATCTTTCTCTAAGCCCTATTTCCTCATCTGTAAAATGAGGTCATAATGGCCACTTTAGTTCTGAAAGTTAAATAAAAAGATAATTGAAATACCTAGTATAGTGGCTGGCAGATAGTAGGTTTCTCATAAATGCTCATTTTCTTATTCAGCAGTGTGGTGAGCAAGTCCAGAAAGATTGAGAACCATTCAGTATGTTCCAAATCTTATTTATTTTCTTGTTGAGTAAGTTGCATAGAAAAAAACCTGGCTAGATTACTGCCTTGTTGCTTTTTAAACATCTAGTTTGTCATAGATTATTACCTGTTGCTTTCTTTTAATCTAGGTTGTCATAGAATATAAGTTTGTCTGGAAATTGAGTTGATTTTTTCCCTTAGCAGTAGGACTTCCCATTTTCTGCCTCACATTGTGACCTCCTAGCCTAAATTTTCGTGTTTTTGACATGCTATATTTTGATTGTGAATTTTAATACTACCTTTCTCCATAGGTCAAACAAATATGCTGTAACTCTTCCAGCCCTGCTGCTTGCCAGACACACAGAAGGCAAAATAGAGAGCATCCCACTAGCTAGCACTCATGCACAAGATGTAGTTCAAATAATAACAGATGCATTACTGGAAACATTTGTGAGTATGTTTCATAATAAGGGTGATATTTAAAATAAAATCTAGATCAGTCAAAAACAGTATATTTTAATACACATTTTTCCACTTTTGTTGGTACAGGGCATGGTGATTTGTAAGTTGAGGTTTCATTGGGTTGTTTTGTTTTATTGACCAGTCATTATGCATATAGCATTTTGAGTCTACTGCTAAAAGTTTACACGTCTTGCTGAGACCACTGTGGCTGAAGTCCAGTTCAAGTGCTTAATCCAGGGTGAAATTTGTTATAAAGCATGTGTATTCTGGAAGGTCGGCCTGCCCAGCTTCAAATCATTGGTTGATTTCTTATTGACTGTAGGTTAACTTCTCTATTTTTCCATTTCCACATGTGTAAAATGTAGCTCATAGTAGCATCTGCTGCAGACAGTTATTGTGAGGACTAAATGAGACATGATTTGTACAGTGCTTTGTGTGCAGTGTTTACCCCACAGTAAGCATTCAACAAATATTAGTTACTATTATTATATGGGATTTTTTTTTTTGAGATGGAGTTTCATTCTTTTGTCAGGATCTCAGCTCACTGTAACCTCCGCCTCCCGGGTTCAAGCAGTCCTCCTGCCTCAGCCTCCCGGTAGCTGGGATTTCAGGTGCTCACCACTACACTTGGCTAATTTTTTTTGGTATTTTTAGTAGAGACAGGGTTTCACCATGTTGGCCAGGCTGGTCTCAAACTCTTGACCTCAAGTGATCCACTCATCTTGGCCTCCCAAAGTATTGGGATTACAGGCATGAGCTACCATGCCCAGTCCAGTTTTTATAAAAATTTTAATTTCTGGAGGGAGGGTGCCAAGATGGCCGTGAGAAGGCAACACCAGAATGCAGCTCCCAGTGAATGAGATGCAGAAGGCTAGAGGACTTCACAAGTCCAAATGAGGTGCCGAGTTCGTTTTGGTGGGACTGATAGGGCACTGAAAATAGCCCAGGGAAGAAGCCACAGGGTAAGAGCCACCCAGGGGGACAAATCAAGATGAGAGGGTTGGCGTGTCCCCACCTGAAATGTACAGCCAGCTCAGAGGGTTGGGGGACCTCACCCCCTTGGTGCTCCGATTTGAATCCTGTCCTTACCTCATCCCTCATACAACCCATGGTCCATGAGAGCCCTGTGAGACTGTGGGGCGCCATGGGTTGTTGATGCAAATCTGAGCAGCGGGTCCCACCAGGCATGGCAAGTTGTTGCATAGACCTGGGCAGAAGTTTGGATTAATGCCAGCGGATGGACCATCCCACAAAGGGAGGCAGAGTTGAAAGCAGGGAAACAGACCATAAGGCCTGGCAGACCCCACCTCCACAGAACTCAGACTGAAGCCCTTGCTAGAGAGCTTGGCAGCAAATACACCAGTTTGACTCCAACCAGGAAGATCCAGCTCTGGCATAGACACCATTGGGAAGGTGGGACCAATTCCACCTGCTTCAAACTCCAGCGAAGAGCCACTTACCCAACAACCTGACTGAACCCAAGACAGCCCAGCAATACCCTCTACAGGCCAAAAAAGATACAGCTCCAACCTCAACAGAAAAAAAGTCCACTTAGAGACTCCTCTGGTAATCAGCAACTTCAAAGATCAAAGGGAGATAAATCCACGAAGATGGGAAAAAAGCGCAAAAAGCATGAAACCATCAAAGAACAGAACACCTCTTCTCCTCCCAGGGATCGCAACTCCTCACCATCAAGGCAACAAAAAAAGACAGAGAATGAATTTGACTAATTGACAGAAGTAGGCTTCAGAAGGTGGATAATAACAAACTTCTCTGAGTTAAAAGACCATGGTCTAACCCAATGCAGAGAAACTAAGAACCTTGAAAAAAGATTAGACGAAATGCTGACTAGAATAACCAGCCTAGAGAAGAACATAAACGACTTGATGGAGCTGAAAAACACAGCACAAGAACTGCATGAGGCATACACAAGTTTCAACAACCAAATCGATCAAGCAGAAGAAAGATATCAGAGATAGAGGATCAAATCAATGAAATAAAATGAGAAGGCAAGATTAGAGAAAAAAGAGTGAAAAGAAATGAACAAAGCCTCCAAAAACTATGTGATTATGTGAAAAGACCTAATCTACACTTGATCGGTGTACCTTAATGTGACAGGGAGAATGAATCCAAGTTGGAAAACACTCTTTAAGATAATATCCAAGAGAACTTCCCCAGCCTAACAAGGCAGGTCAACATTCAAATCCAGGAAATAAAGAGAACACCATAAAGATATTCCTCAAGAAGAGCAACCCCAAGGCACCTAATTGTCAGATTCACCAGAGTTGAAATGAAGGAAAGACTCCCAAGGGCAGCCAGAGAGAAAGGTTGAGTCACCCACAGAGGAAGACCATCAGACTCACAGCGGGTCTCTCTGCAGAAACCCTACAAGCTAGAAGGGAGTGTGGGCCAGTATTAAACATGCTTAAAGAAAAAAACTTTCAACCTGGAATTTCATATCCGGCCAAACTAAGCTTTGTAAGTGAAGGAGAAACAAAATCCTTTACAGACAAGCAATTGCTGAGCGATTTCATCACAAGACCTGCCTTACAAGAGCTACTGAAGGAAGTACTAAACAGGAAACAGAACAACCAGTACCAGCCACTGCAAAAATGTACCAAGTGGTAAAGAACAATGATACAATGAAGAAGCCACATCAACTAACGGGCAAAACAACAAGCCAGTAACAAAATGGCAGGATCAAATTCAAACATAACAATATTGACGTTGAATGTAAAAGGCATAAATGCCCCAATCAAAAGACACTGGCAAACTGGATAAAAAGTCAAGACCCATCGGTGTGTTGTATGCAGGAGACCCATCTCACAGGAAAAGACTCACATAGACTCAAAGTAAAGGGATGGAAGAAGATTTACCAAGCAAATGGAGAGCAAAAAAAAGCAGGAGTAGCAATCCCAGTCTCTGGTAAAATAGACTTTAAACCAACAAAGATCAAAAGGGACAAAGGGCATTACATAATGGTAAAAGGATCAATGCAACAAGAAGAGCTAACTCTCCTAAATATACATGCACCTAATGCAGGAGCACCCAGATGCATAAAGCAAATTCTTAATGACCTAAAAAGAGACTTAGACTCCCACACAATAATAGTGGGATTACTTTAACACTCCACTGACAATATTGGACAGATCAATGGGACAAAAAGTCAACAAGGATATCCAGGACTTGAATGCAGCTTCGGACCAAGCAAACCTAATAGGCATTTACAGGGCACTCCACCACAAGTCCACAGAATACACATTCTCAGCACCACATTGTACTTACTCCAAAATTGACCACATACATGGAAGTAAATCATTCCTCAGCAAATGCAAAAGAATGGAAATCATAGCAAACAGTCTCTCAGACCACAGTGCAATCAAATTAAAACTCAGGATTAAGAAAAGCACTCAAAACTGCACCATCACATGGAAACTGAAGAACTTGCTCGTGAATGACGAATGGATAAACAATGAGATGAAGGCAGAAATAAAAATGTTCTTTGAAACCAATGAGAATGAAGACACAATGTACCAGATCCTATGGGACACATTTAAAGTAGTGTCTAGAGGGAAATTTATAGCAATAAATGCCCATATGAGAAACAAGGAAATAAATCAACATACCCTATCATCAAAATTGAAAGAGCTAGAGGAGCAAGATCAAAAAAACTGAAAAGCAAGCAGAAGACAAGAAATAACTAAGATCAGAGCAGAGCTGAAGGAGACAGAGACACAAAAATCTGTTCAAAAAATCAATAAATCCAGGAGCTGTTTTTTGAACAGATCGACAAAATAGACCACTAGCTAGTAATAAAAAAGAGAGAAGACTCAAATAGATGCAATAAAAAACTAAAAAGGGAGATCACCACTGATTCCTCAGAAATACAAACTACCATCAGAGATTACTACAAACAACTCTATGCACGTAAACCAGTCATCTGGAAGAAATGGATAAATTCCTGGACACTTGCACACTCCCAAGACTAAGCCAAACAACAGAAAGAAATAACTTCAAGGACAAAAAGGACGTCCACTCAGAGACCCCATCTGAAAGTCACCAACTACAAAGACCACAGGTAGATAAATCCACAAAGATGGGAAGAAACAAACACAAAAAGGATGAAAACACCCAAAATCAGAATGCCTCTCCTCCTCGAAGGGATCACCACTCCTCACCAGCAAGGGAACAAGGCAGGATGGAGAATGAGTCTGATGAATTGACAGTAACAGAGGAGCAAGATCAAAAAAAAAAAAAAACAACACTCAAATGCTAGCAGAAGACAAGAAATAACTAAGATCAGAGAAGAACTGAAGGAGACAGAGACACAAAAAATCCTTAAAAAAAAATCAGTAAATCCAAGAGCTGGTTTTTTGAAAAGATCAACGAAATAGACCACTAGCCAGATTAAATAAAAAAGAAAACAGAGAATAATCAAATAGATGCAATAAAAAAAAATAAACATGATATCACCACAGATTCCACAGAAATACAAGCCACCATCAGAGATTACTACAAACAACTCTATGCACATAAACCAGTAAACCTGGGTAAATTCCTGGACGCTTACACCCTCCCAAGGCTAAACCAGGAAGAAGTCGAAACCCTGAATACAACAGTAACAAGGGCTGAAGTTGAGGCAGCAATTAATAGCTTACCAACCAAAAAAAAGCTCGGGTCCAGATGGGTTCACAGCCGAATTCTACCAGACATACAAAGAGGAGCTGGTACCACTCATTCTGAAACCATTCCAAACAATCCAAAAAGAGGGAATCCTTCCCAGATCATTTTATGAGACCAACATCATCCTGTTACCAAAACCCGGCAGAGACTCAACAAGAAAAGAAAACTTCAGGCCAATATCCATGATGAACATAGATGCAAAAATCTTCAATAAAATACTGGCAAACTGACTGCAACAGTACATCAAAAAGTTTATCCATCATGATCAAGTAAGCTTCATCCCGGGGATGCAAGGCTGGTCCAAC